TCATCCAGAGTTCTGAAATTGCTTCAAAAATGTTCAAATTTGACGTTTTCGTACACATCATGATCCGCAGATACCAAAAATGTGAAAAAATTATTGGGATGCCATTCAAAATTACGGAGTTAGAACCATTTCCGGTCAAACCGGAAGTTACCAAACATTGACACACATGTCAAAAGATGACATTTCTCAAACCTACACTCCATACCAAAAATCTTTGCCATCGAAAAAAAAACCAGCAAATGCCCGCGCGAAACTGATCTCGTAGACACCCGGTATATGCAATACAATCATATTTTAAATACAGGGTATATTTATCAAAATTGCCATAGTTTATTTATGAGTTATTGACATTACATTTTCTAATAATAGAATTGAAAAACTTTACATAATGAAATTATAATGGTAAGTTTCAATAAATATTCCTGTGCAATCACGTCACTTACCGATCAATACAGAATTAGCAAATTCTTGATTTTCAATCCTTGCTCTGATTCTACTATCTGAAAATATCGTTTGATCGTGGGCTGAACCTGGCCATCTTGCTACAATATCACGGATCTTTAAACTTGAATCACCAATGATTTGCGTATTTATCGAAAAATATCCTTTTCTGTTACGAAAAATGTCTGCATCATTTCCACCTAAAATATCAGGTAGGTACGAGGGTAGGTATTTATTGGATAATTGTTATAGATAATAAGATTGTTTTCATTTTAATACTTAATTGAATTAGGTAGGTACCTGGGGACTGAATACGTATATGCGTTCCATCAATGCAGCCCAAGACCCTCGGAAATAAATAACTTTGGAAAAAACCATTTGTATTGATATAAATTCACGTCATTAGTTGACATTTTGATGTACTCATGGCGCAAGTTCGCTAACGCTCCAAAAACTTTTTTCACAATTCTGGATGCCGTGAATGTATCTGTACCCATAAAATCCGAAATACTGCTGAGGTGGCTTCCTGTGGCAAAAAAGCGAAGGCATATAAGAAGCTGATTTGCTGGGCTCACACTTTTATCGCTAAAATGCCAAATATGACAAGAATGGTGTTTATATTTCATTTGGTAAAGGATATATCGCTTACCGATCATCTGGAAATTCCAAATTATGTTCGATTTCCTGCAAAACAGCTAATGCAGTGGGTTTTGTAAAACGGAAAAAAGTAAGATTATCCACCTCCTCTAAATAGTTTGTCCGCTCGAGAATCCTTCTTGATAAACCGTTTTCTACGATTTCCAACATATCTAAGGTGCTTGTTCTGTAACTCATAACGATACTGTTAAATTACGATGTCGTAACACAATGATGAAAGTTATTCTGGAAGGGCTATCGTTGCGAGAGATCGTTAACGGATCGTTGAACTACGATAGCTACGAACGATAATCTTAAGATAACCTTGCCTTTATTCTGTATCTATGTGAAATCGTTATCAAAGTGTTTCTAACGTCAAAATTCGGTCGATGACAATCGTTGATTAACGTCACCTCTACCAGCTATCTTTCAGTACCCGAAAGTGATAAATTTTCAAAAAACAACATGGATTATGTATTGGATGATGCTATAAATAATGCTGCCCAAGAATTGCTTAGAAGAAATAATCACAAATTATTGCTGAGACAGTTGAGAGATAGGAGTGATCCTTTCAGCTTACCTGCTGAAATGATGAAACAAACATTGGAACCGGAGATTGCACGCAACTTTTTTCTACTTTGCACTTTTTTGCTCCAGGCAGCTATCAAAAATCCGTTGGAAATTTGGAAAGGATTTTCTTTGCCCCCTGTCCCAGTCTGCCGTGAGTAGAGCACTTCACGTTGTAGTAACAGCAAATGTGAATAATCTATATCAGCAAATCAAGTTTCCTCAAACAGATGCTGGCATACGTGAAGTGAAAAATGGATTCTATGAGAAATTTGGGATGCCAGGCGTTATTGGAGCGGTTGATGGCACACATTTGTCTATCGTACCTCCAGCTATTGGTAACGCAGCCTACCCGCGATTAGTTTTCTTTCAAATCACAAGCAATTTTTTAGCCTGAACTGCCAAATCATTTGTGACCCAGATTTGAAAATTTTAAGTTTGAACGCTCGTTTTCCTGGCAGTGTCCACGATGCTGCGATTTGGTCACTGTCGGAAGTCCGATTACGTTTAAAAGAAAGATATCAACATGGTGGAAGATACTTTTGGCTACTGGGCGATTCTGGCCCTATCTAATAACACCAATACTCCATGCTCCGCCAGGTTCCCCCGAAAGTAGATACACCGAAGTCCATTGCAGGGCTCGAAATACGATAGAACGATGCATTGGCGGCTTCAAAGGGCGCTTTCGTTGTCTTCGGAGAGACAGAACTCTGCATTACAAGCTGGAATTTCCGGCCCAAATCTTATACGCCTGTGCAATTCTGCACAATCTTATGAAAGCCGCCAATATTGACGACGAAGACATTTTAATAGAAGAGGACGTCACCGCCGATCATGATGGAGATAATGAGGAGCCGGACGGTTTGCAACAAGGAGTGGAAACCAGACAACAAAAATAAATATGAACGTTTTTATTAACGCATAATAAAAAATAGACATTCACATATAAATTTAAAATAAAACAGAATGCTAATTATAGAATTTTAACTATAACCTACAACGAATTATCACTTTCTTCCGCCGCGTCAATAATACTTGTACCTTCTCCTTCTTCTTCGGAGCTATTTACGGTTTCGAGCTCTTCTTCTCCGGAGCTGTTCTCATTTTCATCGGACATGTGTTTGCGATATTTTAATCTAAGTTTGGACTGTTCCAGCCGTAGTCGTTTCGTTTGAATTCCTACTAGTTCTTCAAGATGTTTTCCAATTTTCTGCAACACTGGCTCAGAACTCACTGGTAGAGGGTTCATATTTTCTGTGCGTGCCTGTAGCAGCTATTGTAGTGAACCCGATAATGTTTCATGCCTACGTTTGTTGCGTGGCACAGTTTCAATTGGCGGAGTATCAAGGCATACGTCATTCGAATGACCAGATAAGTTATTGTTTTGCTTGTTAAGATTATTGTAAGTCCTGAGCACTTCAACATCATTACTAATGCTCAGGTACTTGCATCCCTTCGGTAACAATGCGTCCGGTTAGATCCAGTGAACGGGTTTCCAAATCACTCAGATAGGTCCTCTCTATTGCCGGTTTCTTTATGAGGTTTTTGATTTTCGCTTTCCTTTTTGCGCGTCTGGCACCAATCGATATCATAATAGCAGTAGAATAAGACCGAGAGGAATTCGAATGGAAGATCAGAACTGAACTAACAAAAAGGCCATGAAACTTTCAAATAAGAAGAACTGACTGTCAAGCACTGTGAAACGCACTGAATTGAGGGTAGGTTTAGACAAAAAAAAAATTGTATTAATTTATCATCATTTATATTTATTAGTCAACAAATATTTTATTAAATAATGAAAATCAAAGTTGTAAGCAAAACTGTATGCAAAATAATTTAAAATACGCATAAAAACATATTCAAAACAAACTTGCTTGGCCGCCACGCCACATTGAATTTTCCTTTTTGACAGATGGATTGAATTGCCTAATTCGTCCCTATCAAGTCGAAGGGGCGTATCTCAAAAAATAAGGTTTTTGAGATAAGCCTGCTAAACATACTAATTTTAGGTCTATTGTACAATGACATACGGGCGTATCCCTCAGTCTGCAGATAAACGAAATAGGTTTTGGCGTAACTCATAATATTAAATTTTAAAATACGACGAACGGGCGGATTTCGACTTACGCCTGTTAGTCATATACTTCATTGGAAATAGTTGAGATATGCCCAGGGGGTCTATTAGGGGCCATTATTGAAAATTATTGGAGCATCAGTTCTTTTTTTTATTTTTTTTTATTTTGATGTTTGTTTACAGCAAAAGGTAAAAAAAAGTTTTATTACTTATTACGAAAGTTCTTAATCCTACAAAAGTTCCCAATCTTATTCCATCTCTGAGCCGCAAATAAACATCTTCAAAGCTTTTTAAAGCCTCAATAGCTTATTTGCCAAAAACGTATCACTTCTCCAAAATGGATTTAATAGGGCAATTCAATCCAATTGAAATTAGCGCCATAAATTTAATTCAAACAACCCTGACATTTTTGATCAAAAACCGGTTTTTTGTGTATTTTGTGGGGTTATAAGGTGATTTTTTAGTGCTTGTACGATAATTTTCGTATTTCAGAATCGAGAATTTTGAATTTAAGAAGTTATTAGTGGAAAACCCGGATGTTGGCAAAAGGTATGATTTCTTCGTGACAAAACCTTTACCTACTAAGCAGTTAGGTAGGTACTATCCAAAATTTGTTTCCTGTTTAGTTTTTTCTTAACCAAATCCTGATTTTTATCTTACTTGTCTGCTATTCAAAGTATCGACCCAAAGTTGAGGATTACCAATACAGAGTACAAACACATGCCATTGGCCTCCATATTGATTTTTTGTTTTGACAGGTCGTTGGATTACCCTATTAAGCAATCCAAATCACGTGACATTCAAGAGGGTGTGGCGGCCACACATAGACCAAGAGACACAAAAAAATATCTAGTTTCTGCCCGACTTAAAAATTTACGTACCTAGTAAACAAATATTTTATTGAATGATCAAAATCAAAGCTGCAAGCAAAACTCGAAGCAAAATTAATAAAATATGCATAAAAACAAATAGTCGAAACAAACTTGCTGGCCGCCAGGCCATATTGAATTTTTCGTTTTGACAGATGGATTGGATTGCCTAATAAGCATCAGTGCTTTTTCCAAACATAACCTCAAAAAGTAACTGAACGTTATGAAGCTCAGCCGCATATCGTTAATTTTTGAAATTAAGTAGCTAATTGCCTAAAATACATAAAAACTATCTGTGCCTGTGTTTCAGTGATTGTTGTGGTAAGTTTTAGCCCCCAAAAGGTTATTTTTTTACTCTTCTTCCTAATTTTCATAGGTTAAACAGTTTCACGGTTTATCGTCAAGTTTTTATCATGGATGCAGTGGTTAGATGGAATGATGGGACTGAAAATATAGTTTTATTAAGTCAAATACAATGTGTAAATGAGTCGGAAATGATGAAAATTGGCTCGCAAATAAAAATGCGATGGAAACCTCAGAAGAAATGGTATTATGGAACAATATTAGAAATGGAAAATACAGTTTCATCTAGTAATGATAGTGAACTCGATATTCCTTTGAAAAAGTTGCGTAAAAAAATGTCACCAAGCGATAACAACGAGAGCTTTGATAGCGACGAACCTCTGCAGACTGTCAAGGACAAAATCTTACATCAAAGAAATAGTTGTTTGAATGTAGTAACTGACTGCGTGGAAGAAAATAAAGAAAAAAGTACATCGACTTGTGCCGTTATGGTTTCTGACAAAAATCAAGAGCTAAGTAACTCTGAGCCTCTATACCAAGATGATTCGAATAGAGATCGCCCCTCCGTACAACACTGTGAAGTTCCTAGGTGTGAAGACGAGGTATGGGCTGCTTGCCCAAATTGCTTACGTTTATTGTGCTGGACGCACTTTATCGAAGATGGTACTTGTGACAAAATGCATTCGCTTTTGCCAGCTGTCGCGAAACAAAGTATTGTCGAAACTAGAATACCAGAACAATTCGTCGTTGAAGGAAACAGTAGAGAAAACGATTCCGATTTATTTGTAAAAAAGCGTGAAAACATGAAACGGAAGGCCTCTCAACTTAGAAATAGGGGAGAAGCTTACATTTCTTACAAAACTAAAAAAGAGGTACCTGCTAGAAGAGTTGATAGATCCAGATGTGATAGCAGCACATGCAGAAAAATTGGAAAAAAATGCGACCAAATAACGGACGAAGAAAGACAACAAATTCTCAACGATTTCTACACTACAGGGGATTTACAGCTTCAGAGAGAATTTATTACGCGCCATGTGAACAGGGAACAGACGAAACAAAAAACTACAAGTAGTGACCATGATTCCCGACGTTCAAAAAGTAATTATTACTTTTTACCAAAAGGTAATACACGAGTTCCTGTGTGCAAAACAATGTTCTTGTACACTCTGAGCATTAGTGAGAAATTTCTACGCACTTCCTTAGGCAAATTAAAAAATACTGGAATTGTTGAACCCGAAAAACGCGGAGGGCGTAATACTCAATTAAAACAAAAAGATCGACACATTAGAGAACTTATAGTAGAGCATATCAAAAGATTTCCACGAATGGAATCGCATTATTGCAGAAAAAAAACGACTCGTGAGTATTTGCACTCGGATTTGACAGTAAAAAAAATATACAGCATGTTTATTGATGAAAAAATCGAGCAAGTTAGCTATGCACTGTATCTTGATGTTTTCAAAGGACTTCGTTTATCTTTCCATAATCCTAAGAAGGATCAGTGCGGGTTATGTTTCACTTATAGACAAGGTGATCTTGACAAAAAACTGGAACTGGAGGAAACCTACCAGCAGCATATACTCGAGAAAGAAAAAGTTCGTTATAAGAAACAACAAAAGAAAAGCGATCCTAATCCTTTAGAAATTTGCACTGTATTCGATCTGCAGCAAGTCATTTTTTTGCCAATCACCATCGAGAGTAAATTATTTTATCGACGCAATTAGCAAATTATAATTTGACTGTGTATAACATTAAGTCTAAAGAGTGTCATTGTTTTTTGTGGCATGAGGGTTTGAGTAAGAGAGGTGCTAATGAAATCTCTACCTGCTTGTTCAAATACTTGAATCTTCTTGACGCTGATGGCATTACAAATGTAAATTTATTTTCAGACAGCTGTAGCGGCCAAAATAAAAATTCTATTGTAATATCTATGTTCTTACATGTGGTAAGTTTATCAAAACATATAAGAATAATTTCTATTTCCTTTTTCGAACCATATCACGGTCAAAATGAAGGTGATTCTGCACACAGCGCCATCGATAACGCTGTTAAAAGATCAGGTGATTTATTTTTACCATCCCAGTTGGCACCAATTTTAAAACTCGCTAGAAGGAATAATCCGTACATCGTCCACTTACTAACATCCGATGATTTCATAAATTTCAAAAAACTTTCCCAAGATCTCAAAATCGTTTCGGCAAGAAAAGACGACGCAGGAAATTCTGTTGACTGGAAAAATGTACGTGAAGTAATGGTAACAAAAGACCGTACTGGAAATATTTATTTCAAAAATAGCCACTTGCAGGAAGATTATAGGTATATTAGCTTAAACCGAACAGCTCTTAGCCCTTGTTCTTTACCACCTCGCTTGAATCATCCCAATGGTCCAAAAATATCTGCTGAAAAATATAAAGATTTGATGGACTTATGTAGTGGGTCCACTCCAATAATAAAACTCAAGGAACATGTTGATTTTTTTAAAAATTTGCCACATTAACAGCTTCATGTTACGTATGTATGAATTGATTTATGTACTTATAATTTATAAAGAATAAAGTTTAAGTTGTTTAAAGTAGTGCACTTGTGTTTTTCTTTGGGCGTAACTACACCTTTTTATTAAAATAAAAAATTCTAGTATATGACGAATGGGCGTATCTCTTCTAAGGGATGATTTCACCCCTTTATAAAGGGTTTAAATGCGTGGGACTTATAATTTAGATACTATAAGTACATATTTTACTATATATAGGGTTTGTAAAATATTATTAGGATTCGTTTATTTTTCCCACAGTTTCAAAACTAAAGATTTATTTCTAAATCAATTTTCTCCAAACTTATTATTTTGAGATACGCCCCTTCGACTTGATAGGGACGAATTATGGTGTATAATTAAGGGTAGCAAGCTCCATACCCTATATACCTGTTAGCTACGAAATTAATTTAAAAAAATAATAAAAATGTAATCTGTAAACATTTAATCGTCACCCAAGAAAACAATAAACACAATTTAATCGTGAAGACTACAAAGATTATCTGAGATTATCCTTGAGTTTATAATAAAAATATTAATAATTGTTAAATAATAATCATAAGTTATTATTGTCATGCACGAAAACTGACAATTAGTGAAAAATTCGGATAAATCATTCAATCACTCGAATCTAGCTAATTTATAATTTATAAAGGACCCCGCACAAAAAGATAGGAAAAGTGGTCCCGGTCAAATCCTCTGAAATTTTGATATGATATACTTCTCGTCATCCTGATTAAAAGCTGTCATGGACGCGAAAAAATTTATCGAGGGGTTTTCGAGTTATAGCTCCTCGAAGACGTCATTTTGGATATACATAGATGTCAAAGTTGAAAATTGTATATTAAATATTATCTCGTTTACATAATTTGGTCAAATAATATTAAAAATAGAGTAAATAAACTTCAAAAAGATCAGAAATACTTAAATAGTGTGAGTAAATATGTTACAAAATGATACAATAAAGGTGCTGTTTGTTTGTCATTAGTCCGTGTGTTCATCTGTTGTTTGTCTATACCTATAACATTAAAAAATCTGACGCGTTTATTTCAAGTTATAGCGTGTTGTGTTTTTTTTATTTGGTCAAGTAGGTATTATTGAAAGAGCAGTGAACGAAAAAAAAAGTTTTATTTAGGTAAGCCGCGGGTAAGCGGCTACCTGATTGAGTGAAAAGCTCATAGCTTCTCCCATATACAGGAATTACTGTGAAAGCAAAAAATATAGTATAAAATAAATCTATAAATATATAAAAATAAATTCTATATTTTTGTTTTTAATAACGAAAGATCTATATTCACACTATACTTTTAATCTATTTTATGCCAATACCAACAATTCAAGATTTAAAGCATTAAAAATACACATATAGTTTGCTAAAAATTAGAATAAGCATAGGTATTAATGAAGATAATGAAGAAAAGCTAGGTGGACTTCAGACTCAATTGATAAGCACGTACTTTATTTGGGGCTCTGTTTCCAGCATCTGATACACGATGTAGTAACTCGGTTGCTGGATAATGGATATTTGGTTGGTGTCGAAGGTAACCAAAATACCAATAATAATTGTTGTTGTGTGCACAAGTGCCCAGTGTTCTGGATCCTGACTTGTAAGCAGGTATAATAATGACCTCGTAGCCTCTTACATTATCAAAAATCGTATTCAATGAAAATCTAGTGCCTAACTGCATTTCTGAAACGCGAAAAACACTCTCTACCTGATCAGATTGAGGTAATTCAGTAACAGGTCTATTTGCTCCTCTGCGCATAGTGTCCTGGATATAAGATGGCGCAAGATTTATTTGATAGACACCTACAGTTAAGTCCCTCAGATATTTTAGATCCAAATGTGGAAACTCTAAGACATGATTTTCGTGTAAGCGCCTCCACTGCGCATTTCTAACCCGCAGGTTTTCTTGTTCGATTCTAACTTGCAAATTATTTTCGGTAAGCGAACTTTGCCGTATTTGTTGGGCCAGCTCAAATGTTGCTTCTTCCATTAGTACTGGCTCCTACCTAATGATATATTTATTCTGGACCGAGGTTACCGAGGTGCCATGCCCTTGTTGGAAAGACTGGGACTTAAATGTAGGATGCCAACTCAACTAAGGGCGCACGAACATCAATTGTCGACAGAAGAAGCTAACCTATCAAGACTAATAACTAAAACTCGATGGATTATTGAAGCAAAAAACGAACATTTTAAATATGCGTTTCGTTTTTTCGATAAAACTATATCTGCGGCCCACTTAAAATATTTGGGCGATCTTTACAGAATTTGTGGGGCCATGTTTAATAAATACCGGGATCCAGTACTAATAGAAGGACTAACAGTTGAGATGGCCCAACAAATACGGCAAACATCGCTTAGCGAAAATAATTTGCAAGTCAGAATCGAAGAAGAATTCCTGCGGGCTAGAAATGCGCATTGGAAGCGCTTACACGAAAATTATGCTCTAGACTTTCCACATTTGGATCTAAAATAGAGGGACTGAACTGTAGGTGTCTATCAGATAAATATTGCGCCGTCTTACACCCAGGACACTGTGCGCAGAGAAACAAATAATGAATTGCAAATAGACCTGTTACTGAATTACCCCAATCTGGTCAGATTAAAGGTGTTTTCGCGCTTCAGAAACGCAGTTAGGCACAAGATTTTCATTGAATTTGACTTTAATAATGTAAGAGGTCATTACTGTACCTGCAAGTCAGGATCCAGAACGCTGGGCACGCGTGCACACATAGCAGCACTTATTTGGTATTTGGGTTACGCGCGACACAAAAAATATTCATTATCCGGCAACCGAGTTACTACATCGTGTATATCAGATGCCAAAAACAGAGCCCCAAATACCCTTCGTTTTATCAATTAAAACTAAAATCCATCTCGCTTTTTGTTCGTTATTCTCATTAATATGTTTATTTCTAATTTTTAGCGGACAATGTATATTTTTTAATGTTTTAAATCTTGAGCTGTTGGTATTGGCATCGAAAAAGTATACTGTGTATATAGTATCTAGATCTTTTGTTATTAAAAACAGAAATATAGAATTTATTTTTGTATATTTATACATTTATTTTATAATATATTGCTTGCTTTCACAGTAATCGCTGTTTATGGGAGGAACTGAGCTTTTTACTCAATTAGGTAGATACACTAGATACCTACTTACCTAAATAAAACATTTTTTTTTGCGTTCACTGCTCTTTCAATAATACTTGACCAAATTAAAAAAAAAAAACAACACAACACGCTATAACTTGAAATAAACGCCTCAGATTTTTCAATGGTAAAGGTATAGAGAAACAACAGATGAACATCCGGACTAATGACAAACAAACAGCACCTTTATTGTATCATTTTCATTTTTTTCACATATTTACTCACACTATTTGGGCATTTCTGATCTTTTAAAGTTTATTTACTCTATTTTTTATAGTATATTAGACCAAATTATGTAGGTAAACATGATAATATTCAATATACAATTTTGAAGTTTGACATCTTTTATATCCAAAATGACGTCTTTGAGGACCTATAACTCGGAAACCCCTCGATAGATTTTTTTGCGTCCATGACAGCTTTTAATCAGGATAACGAGAAGTATATCATATCAAAATTTCAGACGATTTGACCGGGACCACTTTTCCTATCTTTTTGTGCGGGGTCCTTTATAAGGCGCAGGTACGCGACGTGATCACGTGTCGTTTACACTATTATTATGCGCAGCTTATACCTACTAAAGACGGATTAAACTATACGTGAATTAATACAACCAAATTGTGTTGTAGGGCGTTGAATTAACTGAAGGTTTTTGTATAAAATACTGTGTATTATATAAATATACCAGTTGTCCCACCGAAAACTGTCAATGGCCTATATCTTGAAAACGGTGATCGATTAAAAAAAAAAGAAATACCCGTTTGGAGGGTTGGAGGGTTGGAAGGGGGAACCAAAGCAAGGTACTTTTCAGATCTCCCTGAATCATCCCTTCGGCCGTAGCTACCCTAACCTCAAAATCTTAAATGGCACTATGGGTCATGTGATACCTTGTTTGAAAGGTTTTTCAATTCTCTAAACAAATCTGCAAAGAAAAATTATCAATAGTAATATAACTAGTGCAATGGAAATTATTGATAATTTTTGGGAAATTTGCCCGAATACATTTTTAGTTGAAAAAGAGCACGAGTGCACGTAGTGCACGAGTGCCTTTTTCAGTTAAAAACGCATGAGTGCAAATTTGTCGAAAATTATAAATATATTTCCATTGCACGAGTTGTATTTAATGAGAGAATTTCATAAATCAAAAATTTGAATTTTTTGTCAAAAAATGTCAAGACACCAGTTTTCGCACCAGTTACTATGCAATTATCTGATAATTTGCACTACTGCAAATTATCAGATAATTGCAATCTGATTGGTTCAAATCAGCAATCAAAACATATCAATTCATTGTTGGAATACCAGTTTTGACAGATGTATGAAATTCTCTAGATACAAATTCAAATTGCCACAAAATGGTGCATGCTTCGAGTTAATAACTTTGCTCTCTTGAGGAGGTGAACACTGTCAGGTACAGTGAGGGGAAGGGGGTTCAAAAAAATAAAATCTTGATGATTTCTTCAAAAATATTCATGCTGTTATTCAGTTTGTATAAAATCAATTTTAAATCACATTTACCTGTTCCACCCGATCAAATGAGGTTTTCATCAAAATGAGAGTCACATTCAAATCTAGATAATTTTTTTTTGCAGATCCAATAAGGGAATTAAAAGACCTTTAAAACAAGGTATCACATGACCCATAGTGCCATTTAAGATTTTGAGGTTAGGGTAACTACGGCCGGAGGGGTGATTCAGGGAGACCTGAAAAGTACCTTGTTCTGGTTCCCCTGAATGAAAAAC